GCCTGTATCTCTGAGTTTTTACATGGCTCTATGAGAGGAGTTCTTTGGTCTCCTCGATTTTGGTATTTCGGGCCACATTATCCCATACATTCCATTTTTCCTGCTTACACAGGGTTTTTGCTTGACCTATCCTTTCCAAGTTCTTCTGTTCCTTCCAGCTCCGTTAGCCACGGATGCATCTATCACTCTCACTACATTAACATGGTCCTTTATGCCCTAACTTTACCTTCATTTGAGCCTCTGTCTATTTGTTCCATTTCACCTCTCTTTGAAGGTGTATTTCCTCCTCCACCTGGCCTGCAGGTTTCGTAGGTCGTTTATTTTCGCCCGCAACATTACCAGGACCTTGTACCACTCCTCCTACCTTATCCTTTATTTGGATCATGCTTTCCTTCCCAAGTCCTTTGCGACAGGAGAAGGTCAGTTTGCCTTTTCCCCTATCTGCCTATCATCTATATCTCATCTCTACCATCGTCCTGATCCATATAGACCCCATAAAGATCTTTCCAAGAAGGAAGTTAAAAAAAATTAGAATGGCTCAGCTCGTTTGGTGGCGAGTGCAGAAATTCACACGTGCAACAGATGAGTGTATGGAAATTTACCAGTGTTGCCAAGTTTCGTTAGAAAAATAAATTATACTGCCATTCAAAACAAGCAGCAGTGACTTTCATAACAAAGACTGTTGATTAACTGTCAAACAGACTTTGACTCTGGAGTTCTTGCACTTTGCTAAATGCTAAATTCCTACTTGTGTGTGCTTAAGTGGTACATTTAACTGCCTGAGGCTGCTCAAACATGTTGTAGGTATCAAAAAGCAACAATATTTCATAACGAGAAACTTCTGTCTTAACCCTGGTTATGTAAAAAAAGGAATGTGTCAGCAATCATAGTACTAGGAGGAAGGAATTGTTAAATTGATGAACATTATCTGCCCAATGTAACTTGTCTTCAGCTGCTTGTAAGGAATATGTCCAACACAAGATTTCAGTAAGACTGGATGCTAATCTACAAGGCTTAATATTGTTACGTCTCTGTGTGTTCGTTTGTTAATTTTATGTAGAAATTCTTTCCTAGAAACTTCAGCGATACAAGTCCTTTCTTAAATAAAACTAGTTTATTCTTTCTCAATTCAACTTTGAAATACACTTAATTTCCACCGTCACTTTAACTTAAACCCATGCTATAATTCACAATGATTCATGCACTTTACTTACGGTCACTACAGCTCACTTGACTCGATTAACTGTGTCTATTATCTTCAATCTCTCTATCTGCTACTCCATTTCAAATTAATTCTCTCGCTTTATTTGCTGCGCTTATATACAATAAGATCACGCATCTAGCAAATGCTAGAACATTCGACAGGTTCCTCGATCTTTCTAGAACTCCAGCGTATGCTCCCAGCATCGCGCGACTTCCGCTGTCCTAACAATATATTAGGTCGGCAAGAAATTAATGTCGCGTTTTGGAACACTTTCATTAACGACCCCCCAAAACACTTACATCACGTATAATAGTTAAAGGAACTGCCTAAGCGTCACGTTAGTGTAGCCTATATAATGTGTAAAGTTTAGTATACTCTAATCCCTTATAGTGATGGCACACGAAGAGACACACTTTCAGTATTGAATACCAGAAGGGAAACAACGCCTCTGTAACCATAATGAATTTCTGGAAATGTTTTGAACGTTCGTAAGTGTCAACGATGGTTCAGCAAATTTCATTCAGGTGGATTTAGCCTTAAAAACTGTGATGGCAGGGGCCTACATGTTGGAATTGATATTGATGCTCTGAAGACGCTTGTTGAGTGTAGCCCATGGCAACATACTCGTGAAATGGCCATGAAATTGCATGTCTCTCTTGAAACAATACGTAAACATCTAAGGAATATGGAAAAACTCCATAAAGAAGGTGTATGAGTGCCTCACAAACTCTCCAATGATCATCGTTTCCAACATGTGAACGGTGCTTCATCTCTTCTGGTGTGTAATGCACGTGAACCATTTTTGGACAGAATTGTCACCAGTGATGAAAATGGATTCTCTATGCAAATATTAATCACCAAAAACAATGACTCAGTCCTAGAGAAAAACCACTTCTGACCCCAAAAGGTGGACCCCATCCACAGAAAGTAATGCTTTGCATTTGGTGCTACTTTAAAGGAGTAATTCATTTCAAACTCCTCAATCCACAGTGAACTGTCAATGCAGAGATCTATAGTCAGCAACTGGAATGTTTAAATCAAGCGCTTCATCAGAAATGCTCTTTACTCGTCAATCAGAAAGCTGTGCACGACAATGCACATCCACATGTGGCACATTTGACGCAATACAAAATTATGGAGTTGGGTTGGGAAGTTCT